AGTTTAAAAGAAAAACTAAGTACTGTACTACCTAATTAACTCCATGTAACCTACCTTACCCCTAAATGTCAACCCATGTCTTACTATTTTAAACAATGCTGTTTGTTGACCAACTTGTAAAATTGCTGATTTCTGCCATGTTCCCCACCCCCCTTTTTTATTTTATTCCTTTTTTCAACAAAATTTATTTTTTAATCTCAATTACTATTAAGTTTTAGTCTAAATATCTTCCCCCCCCCCCACACCATGCCCGAAATGCTATGCGTATTAATGGCTTTAGGTATTGTATGTACTAGCTATAAATCCAACATTATAATTGTAACTCATCATCTATGTGTTACTTCTGCCCGAAGTAACCATCTGCCCGAAACCCTACGCGTACTAGTAGTGGTTTTATAAGATTGTAAATACCATGCTATGTATCCTCACAAACTCATGTACCTTCTTGTATATAAATAAATAAATAAATAAATAAATAAATAAAATGTATGTACTTTTACCTGAATAAAAATTTGAATTATTTGAAATTTGAATTTGAACCAACGAACTGGAGTTGTTGAGTAGCCGAAGTGGAGGGTCCGGGGTCCCCCCTCCCCTTCCCATTGCGGACAAGCAGCGCAGTGGTGAGGTGTGACGTTTGCTTGTTTCCTTAGGATTTGGTAGAGTTCTGCCTCTCTGTTCAGTTTTCAGTTGCAATTTTCTTACCAAGTGGGGTCTTATGTTATGCCTACCTTTCTAGGTGCCTAACCCCAGCTGATGGCAGATTCGGAAAACCCCCAACCACAGGTTTTTTTTTCAAGGGCCATTGCTCCCTGTGCCTCTCTGAGGGAACGAGGTTCTGGCTCATGGTTTCTTGTCCCCGGAAGGCTGAACTCCAATAACTAATGTCCTAGTCTAATGTATTGCATATTATCCGAATAGCCCCAGAGAGCCGAAGGGGCTCTCCACAGAAAAGTCTATTAAGACTTTCTCATATTTTACAGAAACACAGGCCAGGAAGATATTAAAGCAGCTAGAATCTAGAAATTAACTTTAGCATTTTATTTCTAGTAAATTTAGTTCTGTCTTCATGTATGGACTGTCAAAACTCTCAACCTTAACATTTCCATGCCGAAATAGCTCTGGTATTGTTAGTGTTTCTTGTACACTAGCTGGCATTATTGTAAAATGTTTGTCTAAACTGTTAGGTAATGCACTCTGGATATTTACTACTTAAGAATAGGACCAAAATAAAAGCAGCATGACTTATTTTTGGTAAAAAATTATGAAGAAGGCTGCAATTATTCTCCATCCTATTGTACAATAAATTAAAAGCTCACATTACTGTGCTAAACAACTATTACTACTCCTGCCCCTCTTCCATCCTACTCCCTACCACACCCCTTCCCCATTCAATCCCTTTCACAATGCCTTCCCTCCCAATTTCTCTCTCTCTCTCTCTCTCTGTCCTCCTTTTTTTTATCTTTTCCAATCATCTTTTGAGACATGCCATATTATTTTTACCAAAATGGCAGTTCATGGATTACACATTGAAATGTGCTGGCTCATAAATCCTTCTGAGACTTGGAGAAATTCCAACTTTTAGATTTTTAGACTTAAGAGACTCCACTATGTTCAAAATATCTCCTGCATGAGTCTGTATTAAAATTTAACCATTAAACAAAGATTCCACCATATGCTTTAATAAATTAATGCACAAATAAAATTAAGATATGACAATATAAACAAAATAATGACATGTAATCAAGAAAAAGAAAATTAAAAAATAAGGAGAAACAACAAAAAGTATTCATGGTTAATATACACTTGAAGTTTGAGAAAACTGAGAATATCACAAAGAATTGCTGTCAAGCATGGAAAAAAAACCATCGTTGAATGTAATGAAACACCAAATTTTGGGTGTGTCCTGGAGGTTCCCCGGAGCTATCCAGGATAATATGATTATCCCTAACTTTGGCACCAGTTGATGTGGGTGGAGTTCTAGGCCTACCGGGGACCACGAGCCAGAACCTGGCCCCCCTCAGAGAGGCACTAGGAACAATGGCCTATAGGCAGGTTGGGAAGGAGGCAGGCAGGCTGGCTGGCAGGTTGGGAAGGAGGCAGGCAGGAAGCGCTGTATGGGTGAACCACGTGACCTTTGAGAGAGTGTGTGTGTATGGGTTGTGGGGGAGGGGGAGGTGTGTCGGTGGTGGGGGAGGGACCGACTGACTCCGTAAGCCTAACCACACTCGACAGACCTGTGACCCAGATTCGTTTCTTAAATGTACATCATCGTATAATTTTGGCTGGCTGGCTGGCCAGCCAGCCAGATCTTGTGGTTGGTGTGGCTGGCTGGTGTGGGTGGGTGGCTGGTGTGGCTGGGTGGGTGGCTGGTGTGGCTGGCTGGTGTGGGTGGGTGGCTGGTGTGGCTGGGTGGGTGGCTGGTGTGGCTGGGTGGGTGGCTGGTGTGGCTGGCTGGTGTGGGTGGGTGGCTGGGCTGGCTGGGCTGGCTGGGCTGGGCTGGGCTGGGCTGGACTGGGCTGGGCTGGCTGGGCTGGCTGGGCTGGGCTGGGCTGGCTGGGCTGGCTGGGCTGGCTGGGCTGGCTGGGCTGGCTGGGCTGGCTGGGCTGGCTGGGCTGGCTGGGCTGGCTGGGCTGGCTGGCTAACTGGCTGGCTAACTGGCTGGCTGGCTGGCAGGAAACATCCAGAGGATGTTTGCCAGACATCTTAATAATCAGCTAGGAACAATTAAGGACTTTTATAAAGTGGATCAGGACTTCACTTATTGGTGAGTACTGTACAAACAAAATACGGTCGCATTTACGCTATGAACCTGTCGATTTTTCCCCTAGAGTTTTTTTTTTTTTTTTTTTTTATAAAAATTTCTTTTTACATTTCTAGTTTATTTTTTCCCTCTATTTCTCGTTTATGAACTTACATGTTAACCGATAGGTCTCGTCCCCAAGGGGTTCGGAAACCAAGTGGTGCTCTGTACCCCAAAACAAACCCCTATTCTGGTTAAAAACGACGAAAATAGACAAACGAGTGGACACAACTCTCTAAACGAAAACAATCAAACAAGCATGACGTCACATGAGCCGCGCCGCATGTCTGCACAGCTCCCCCCTCTCCACGAGGGTAAAGGGGAAGCCCCAGACCCCTGCACCGGCGATCCACACCCCAGTTCTGAGACTGGATGTCAAAAAACGCAAAACTGACGACTGAAGGGAAGGAGGGAGGGTTGCCGGGAAGCCGGTGGGACTCACCCAGAAAGTGACGTTTCATTACATTCAACACTAGTTTTCTGGGGGCCAGAGCTACTTTGCCAATGAAGGAGAGGAAAGAAATGGGACTTACCTGGGAGGCGGTCGGTGCTCACAACTCAACTCAAAGTTGAGACAACCGGCTGCAACCGCTGACCCAAAGCGACACAGGCCCAACTAGGTCCAGGAACATTAACGAGGTAGCGTGCAGGCAGGACCTATTCGACCACCAAAAATCCTGTGCCCGAATGCCAGCCCAGGACATGTTACCAAAGATGGCAGCAAGAGCAGCAAACGGACGAACACCATGGGCACGGGGACAGACCGCAGGCTGGCTAGACTTAACCCTGCGGACTAGCAGAGACTCATACAGGAAAGAAGGGAAATCGGATCAACCCAAAGCGCGTCCCTGGACACACAAGCTGTAGTTGTGTGTTGGAGTTGGTTGTAGGTTGGAACAAGTTAGGTGAGAAGATGGTGGAGGCCAAAACCGTCGGTAATTTCAAAGCGTTATATGACAAAGAGTGCTGGCAAGACATGGCCACCACGAGCGTAGCTCTCATCCTGTAACTACACTTAGGTAATTACAGAGCAGAAGATCTGCAGCAGCTACTTAATCACTTTTCCGCAGCCTATTCCGCATTCGGCCTGACAATCAGCCTGAAGAAGATATAGGTGATGGGGACAAGACGTCAATGAGCTACCCCCCCCACCAGGCACAAACAAAAATGAAAAGAAAACTCCGCAAGAGGACAACGTACTCGGAAGGAACATAGCCGGCCGCTGTAATAGGTGAAAACTAGCTGCGCAGTACCCCGCGCCCTTACGAGTGCAAAAACTATCACTTACTCCAAGGTAAACAAGGTAGGAAACCCCCCCCCCCCCAACACACTCGGGGCAGTCAATCACCGAGCAGCAAAAGACCAACAGAGGTAAACCCAAGGTGACTTGTGGAAGATAACCCAAGCCCCAAGGGCGGTACTTACAGGGCACTCAGGGTAGGGAACCCTAAGCACATGCAGCCCGAGTACCTGAGAATATTACTCCCAGCTTGCACACCATCAAAAGAGCAGTACTGGACACAAGGCACAGCACAACACACGAGAGAATCTGGAGCTTGAGCCACACGACCGAGCCACAATCACATCAGCCAAGAACTGACGGGTGGATAGCTAGCGCGATGGGTCTGGGGCTCCCCCTTCCCCCTCCTGGGGAGGGGGGGAGCTGCGCCGACAAGCAGCGCGGCGAGTGTGACGTCATGCTCGTTTGCTCGTTTTTCAATTGGGGAGTTCTGTTTTCTTGTTAATTTTCCGTAATAGTTTTAACCAGATTAGGGGTTTGTTTTGGGGCACGTACCTTTCTGGGTACCCAGCCGCCCGATCAATGGCAGACATAGAATACTCCACCACAAGTGCATTTCTATAGGCCATTGCTCCTCATGCCTCTCTGAGGGGGCCAGGTTCTGGCTCGTGGTCCCCGGTAGGCCTAGAACTCCATTCACACTGACTGATGCCAAAGTCTAATAATATACATATCAGCCTGGATAGCTCTGGGGAGCCAAAGGGGCTCCCCCTAGAAAAAAAAAAGTCATCAAGACTTAAAAGTTGAAATAAAGCTACTTTTCGGTGAGTTCCAATTCATATTTTAAAACAAATATTATATTTTAGTAACTAAGACCAATTGGCAACAAAACATTTATGTACATGACTGAAATGTGAACAAATGTAGATTACTATATTTCAGGAAACTAATCCTTACCTCCTACGATATATGTAGAGCAAGAGTGCGGAAACATACAGCAAAAGTAATATCATGAATGGTAAGATGAGCATCGTTAAGATGACTGGGTACACAAGCGACCAAACCCATCCTAGGTACAACAGATCCAGTTGGTGGCCTGCAAGGATACACTGTGTGACTTTATGAAACAAAAACTGTTTTACGATGCTTTTAAAATGTTCCTGCCCTGTTAGAAAAAGCAATGTTTCAATATATCTTTGCAATAGTTCTAAGCAATGACATAATATATAATATAAACTGACAAATCCCCAGTTCCTTAATCCTTAGACCTCGCATATTACCGCCCATATTGGGGCCTGGTAGCAAAAAATATTTTAATTATGTAAAAATAACTGTAAAATGTTAAACAAATCTCCAACTTATAAAGTGTTGTGAAACTTTCATCAAAATGTTTTCAGAAACTGATTTTAGACGAATTTTTGAAAAATAAGAACGTTTTATTGATAAGGAGAACAGCTCCTAATAACTGAAACTGAAAGATTATGCAGTAATAAAGAGATGCAAGCACCTGTCATACACTCAAAGAAGAACAATAGTAGTAAGAAGTGTCCACAAAGTGGATATGCAGTTGGTGTCTTTATATCATTGCTGAGAAATACATAATAACACAAATAATAATGAATAACCATGTTAATATGATCTATTTTGTTATATATATCATATAAATACATTGTCCAATGCTAATATATGTTACTTTCATCAATGTAACCAAAATATTTTTTTAAGGGGATTTTTTTGTTTAAGATTTTAGTTATTTTTTTCTCCTTTGTTTATTATCTGATTTTGTTGTAACCTTTACATCGTGGAGAATGCATGTTTCCAAATCTATGTGAAGATAGAATGGAATTGTTCAACAAATAAATCAATCACAACTTGCAAAACTTTGAACTTTTAATTTTTGGGGGCTGATTTTTTCTCTTATTTCAAACTATATTTTCTTTGTCTCTTTAAGTTGTTTTGATGATTAGGGACCATATTAGGGATTTTTCACTTATATAAAGTATACCCTAAATATATCCCCTAAATCATTATAATTATTATAATTATCTCTATATTTTGTGTTTTTTGAGGGGTTATTTTTTTCTTGACTTCATTTCAACACATGTTGACCTACGACTTTCACATATTAGAGTACGAGTGCCAAACAATGTTTATTAAAACATACAATTAAATTAATGAATTAAAACTACCTTTATTCATTGTTGATAACTTCAACTTCAATGTATCTCTGAAAACAGAGTTTCAACTTTGAGTGGCTTCTAAAATTCCAGTTTTTAACCGATTCTCACTATTTTGACATACTGTGTGCTCAGCTGTCTGTTCTACAATCCCATCAGAATGGATTTTTCATAAACTTTATACATTTGGAGTTATAATTTTTTTTGTTCTAAATTTGCCACATATTTCAAATGCCCTATTGACAATTTTTTTTACAGTAAATTATACTGAAAACCACTATGTATAAAACCATTATTATATACTTCTAATTTGATGAAAATGAAGATTATATGCTATTCTGAGAGAATAACAACATTAAATGAACAATTAATGATAGTTCATATTTTTTATTCCGACTTGAAAATCTGGAGTTTTCAATATTCATTTTTAAAATTAAATTTGATTATCTTGTTTTTCAAGTTATGCTGTGATCATTTAGACAAAGTTGGAGCATTTGCCTAGTTGATTATGCAAAAAAAAAAAATTGGAAAGTATTTGTGCAAATTTTAAAAACTTATGTTAAATTATTTTTTGTCAAATCATATACAGTATGTATGTATTGCGCAGTCTGGTAAGTAAGGGCTTATTATTAAAGCAACAATAACATAAAGATTCATTAACATTATGGATAAATTTGGCTATTGCACAAAGAAGGATTTCACAACACTATCTGGCTTCACAAACAGCTTCAGTATAGCTTAACATAAAAAATCAACATTTCCAGTCATTCTAGTCATTCAAATAATTTAAGCAAAGCTTAAAAACACACACTCTGGGTGAAGTTCTACTTTACAAAGTAAGGTAAATATGGGGAAAAAATACTACTAAACCAAAATCACTACATAGCACTTGGAAGAGAGATGAGGACAATGTGCTGGAATATTAAGACAAAGAACTTGGATATAAGCACAAAGAACTTGGGTATGATTTCAGTGAAGGAACAGTGCCCAACTATAGTGGAACCTCGGGTAACGAACATCCCTCTCTACAAATTTTTCGGGTTACGAGCCCAATTTCTTCGTAAAATTTGAATCGGATAATGAGATTTACCTCGCATTTAGAGTTTGTTGATACACGTATGGGTCGACCGAGTGCGTGTTTCCTGGTGGCATGGACGACCACGCTTCAGTTTACCAGTGTCTCCCACGTAGTGACAATCGCACTTGAATTCTTCGTAAACAATTTTATTGTTTTTCTGCTTTTTTGGTTAAGTAATTATATACCAAGCCATGGGTCCCAAGAAAGTCAGTGGTAATGTTCAACCTAGGAAAATAGTTGCGAGTAGAGGCAGTAGAGGTTGTCCCTTCCTCATTAAGAAAATGTGTAAAGTATGGGTAGAACAGCAAAGTTCTGTTGAAAAACTCACCCAGATAAAGCTGTAGCAAGCCGTTGCATTGACCTTTTTAATGACAATGTGATGTCTTAAAATGTATGGAAAAACAAGTATCTTAAGACAGGTTCTTACTAAGACAAGCAAGCACATGAGCTACAACCAGGTCCTAGTGGTATGCCTGCAAAATGTAGGAGTGTGTGTGTGTACCCCTGAGACGGCATCACTGCCTGATGTTATAATGAAAGGGGACTCCCCTTCCAAACACTAACACCTCTCCTCCTCACCGTCTTCCATATGCCAACAAGAGTCATCAATAAACATAAGCTATAACTTGCACATACTATAGTACAAAATATTTGTGTGTATTATGTATGAAATGTATTTTTAAATTAATATTTTTGGGAGTGTGGAATGGATTAATTAAATTTACATTACTGTATTTCTTATGGGAAAATTTGTTTCGAGTTGCGAATTTTCGGGTTACGAGCTGTATCTGGGAACGGATTAAATTTGAAAACCAAGATATCACTGTACTTGGTAGCCTACAGGTGTTTGGAACCATAATCATCTAAAGCCTACCATAGCCTAACGTAGAGAGTACCCACATTTACCGTAGTTTGCTTCATCACATTAACACTTATCATATATACAGCTTACTTCTGTAGTTTATCAGTAAATACCAGCCCTTATATTAGTGATGAAATTTTGATAAAACTAATTTATTCAGTACCTTTTAGTAATATCCAGGCAGTCAAGTTTACAATGATAGCTCCCTTGTATCGTGAACAAATGCCACTCAGCCAGACCAATACATCTATCATATTTGTACAGTATAACAATATACAATTCATTAAATTAACACTTTCGCGCTCTCGGCGCTCAAAAAAAAAACAATACCCCAGATGCTTTCGGCACTTCGCGCGCCTACGCGGTAAGACCGAAAAGTGTACACTCTTTTGACTGTCCTGACAATAATTGAAGGCGCACGTATTTAAATTTGGTATCACTGTGTTCGCAATGAAATTGTCTATAAGAGCATACCTATAAAATGCCGTCCAAGCATAAGGAGTATCAACACCAAATAAAAAACTATGCAGATCACTCGCCGAGAGCGCCAAACAGCAACAAAATGTTTCCACTCTCTTAATGGTTGCGAAGCCTACAGTTGTCCTACATCGCTAATTTTGGTATCATTGGAATCGCAATAAAATTCTCTACACGGACATATGCATATGAATGTTTAATATAGGTAATTGCCCACCCGCAAGAGTGTGTGAAGTGGAGAGTAGTTAGCCGCGAGCGCACTGGCGAAAACACAGGGGGGAAATCATGCTTGGAAAGTTTATACGTTTCCTGACCCTACTTTTCTATGTACGTATTTCTTTTTTATACCAATGTGTTCGCAATAAAATTTTCTATAAGATGAACTGTATAACATTTGTACAAAGCATGTGTAAGAGAAGCGCCAAATATAGAACCACGTCGCTCAGTATGCGTTCGCGGCAGAAACGAACGCATTGTTTTCGTTCGTTTGATGTTTGTCATGTTTATACTTGTTGAAACATTTTATAATTTGTATGACAGTGATCGCAGTAAAATTCCCTACACAGACATATACATAACACATACAAATATTTCCCACGTGTTGGATATATCAACGGCTAAAGGGAACCCACTGCCACACGCTCGCCACACCCCCAAACATACTTTGTGTATTTTTTTTTTACTCATAGAAGTTTATGTGATATAATATTCATTCTGGTACCAAAACATTCGCAAATAAATTCCCTACAAAACAAAAGTATCCCCATCCATTTCGGTTAAAAAATGGAATTTATAGAAATATTTTTTCGATGGACGAGAAAACTCGGCTGTTATGCGGAATCGTAAGAGAAAACGGCGACGAGTTATCTCTAATCTAAAGCGCGAAAGTGTTAATGTGGAAGGTAACCAGAAAGTCACCAAGTAAATCCAAACCACTGCTGGCTTCAGTAGTGACTGATGCCTTAAAACCACTGAAAGAACTCCCCAAACTACGTATAAAGACCAGATTTGAAAATAATGAAATGCCAGTTTCTGGGTGAGCCCTGGAGGCTCCCTGAAGCTAGCATACTGATTAAGTGCCACCGCACTTGGAGTCATCAGTCGCAGAGTTCTTGTATACCTACCAGGGACCACGAGCCAGAACCTGGCCCCCTCAGAGAGGCGCAGGGAGCAATAGCCCATGAACACCCTTACATTTAAATTATGTCATCTAGCCATCGACCAGGGAAGGAACCCAGAAAAGTAGGCAAATCAAAACAGACTGCTGCCTGGTTGAAAATTGTGACCTCCACCCTCAAAACATCAACATAATTCCCCTACAAAGAAAACAAACAAGCAAAACTTTGTCCAACTAGCCACCTGCACATTAGTGGCACCAAACCCTTCCACTGAGAGGGGGAGGGGGGAAGCCGGGCTGCCCATCAGTCAGTTCTTGAATGATAAAAGCTGCCAATCAGACGGAGGGAGAGTGTCAGGGAGCCTCCGGGACTCACCCAGAAACTGGCATTTCATTACATTCAATGCTGGTTTTCTGTGGGGGAGCCCTATTGGTTCCCTGAAATTAGCTACCCACAGAGAAGGAAAAAACAGGGACTTACCAGAGAGGTGACAGCACTGCAGGTATCAATTCGAGAAAGAGACATTCAGCCATGACTGACCCCCCAAAGCAACACAAGGTCGCAGAGGATCAGGGGCATTCACCAGACACCTGGCGGCCAAGACCCTGTAAGTCCTCCAAAGCCCAGTGTCTAAATATTGTCCCAAGATATATTCCCAAACACAGCCGAGAGAGCGGCATACTTCCTCACATCATGGGCACAAGGGTAGACTGCAGGCTGGCTAGACTTAATGACACTGCAGACGACCTGTGACACACGAGCCCCAGAACAGGGAACCAGGGAAACCAGATCAAGAACAACCCCTAAGACTATAGGAACAAAACCCCTGGCATCAGAGAAGAGCATGAAGCTCCCCAACCCGACCCACAGAAGCCAAAGCCAACAAACAAAAATCACCAATGCTGAAGCGACCAACGCCCTCAAATCAGAATCCCTTTAACTCAAGCAGGGCAGCTCTGGGGCTTCCAAATGGGCACACAACCTGGCATGTTGCAATGCCAAGAAATGCCTATGCAATGCTGCTACTGCCTGATCCCAAAGAATATTAGAAGAGGGATGGGTAAAATGGATTACAAGCAGGGAACAAGTTCCCCAAGACTCCTGGTTATAGGCATCCCCGACACAACAGTCAGCTTAGCGGAGGCAAAATAGCAATTAAGGATTTGAGCAATCCTCAAATTCGCGCAAGGCGAGAGCGGGCTTGGATGAGGTATCCGTAATACAACCGAGCCCGCCGAGGATTTCCAGGGCCTACAGGGTACGTGAGTCCTACAGGAACCCCTACAGGGGCTAGTTAAATCGGTAACCCCTGTTGATGCAAGATACCCAACTGCAAGCAGCCACAAGGATAGCCCCAGGGGTAACAGAGGAGGACCATCAAACACATCCTAGGTACCACCTAATCAGGTGAAGGGTAGAACTCCTTTGCAGAAAAGGCACAATAAAATGCTGGCAAATGTGAGGAAAACCACACTAAAAGCACCTGAAACCACGTCAGCAAAACAAGCAGTCAGAGAGAAACTCGGCATGCTGGAGCTAGCTGAAGAGCTGGCTACGCTAGCTGCAGTGCACCCCACCAGCCAACAAACACCCCTACCCAGGGCAAGATGGAGCGGCCCAAAGCCGCCGACACATCGCAAGGGCGAAAACCATTACCAGCAAAGAAGTCTGCTAATGAGGAGTGAATTCCAAACTTCCCAAGGAAGGGAACTTTGACCGCACAAGGGCAGAACTTATGGAGTACTTAGGGAAGGTGTCCCTAATCTCATGTAGTCCCAGTACACTTAAACTCCTAGCCAATGCACGCAAAGTGCAGGAACAGCCTCACAAAGCAAAACATTCCAAAAAGAAGAAAAGCGTGGCCCAAGCGACTGCCAACCGCCTGGTACATCAGTCAAGAACTTACTGGTGGGCGGCTCGGCTCCCCCTTCCCCCAGCAAAGATGTTTAAAGCTAGTTGGACGAAGTTGAAGTTTGTTTGTTTGTTTTCTTTGTGGGGGGAGTGCTTTTAATGCTTTAAGGGCATAGGTCGCAATTTTCAACCAGGCAGTACACCCCCCGACCTTACTATCAGACCTCAATCATTCGTTTATTCCATATATTTGTTGGTGATATGGCCACAAGCCAGATCCACTCAGGATCTAAGCTATGACCCCAACTCAGGAGCAGCCTGTGTATCTTCGCACCACCGGCCATCGAGTTGCTGGTGGTGCGACCTTTGTCTTACCTACGGCGGACGAAACCCTTCCCCCCCCCCTCTTTCACTGTTCTATATCTGTGCATATTTCATGCATCCTGCTACTAGTGCATCAGGAAATGCAGGAAATATGTTGTTTAGGGCTTCAACAAGCAGTGAAGTCAAGAGAAAATATGTTGTGATGATTTATTATCAAAGCATTTGGCATATAAAGGAAGATGAATCTGGAATGTCTTCTGTGTGGTGGATAGAGGTGTCCAAATTTGAGATCATGCAGAATGATTCTATCTCTGAACAAATTTATAATGCTGATGAAACAAGTTTTTACTAACGTATGTTAACCTAACCAAACCAAACCACACATAACCTAAGCAAACCAAACCACACATAACCTAAGCAAACGAAACCAAACATAACCTAAGCAAACCCAACCAAACATAACCTAAGCAAACCCAACCAAACATAACCTAACCTACCAAACATAACCTAACCAAACCAAACCAAACCTAACCAAGCCAAACCTAACTAAACCAAACCTAACCAAACAAAAACCTAACCAAACAAAAACCTAACCAAAGGTAACCCAACCCAACCCTCAACATCTAGGCCTCAGCCCTCAGTTAGCACCACCATACCCACCTACACATCATTCCAAGATCGTAATTATTAATTATTATTATAATAGAGAAACATCTGAACACTTGTGACAACCCATATTTATTGTTGCTGTATTACCGGTACTCTGTGGTGTTTTGTTTAAAAGTACATATCTAATGAAACAAAAGTGTATCATTACGTACTTTTATACATTAAATTATTATTTTTTGTGCCTGGTAGAAAGGGGGGGAGGGAATTTGACTACTTATCCAGACATGACAACATATCCAATCACAATTGGGCCCAAGGTGTACGGAGGATGATGAGTGTAGTGTTTTGATTCGCCTACTTTTCTGGGTGCCTTCCCTGGTTGATGGCGAGATGACATCTCTTAAATGTAAAGTGTTGATGAGCCATTGCTCCCTGCGCCTCTCTGAGGAACTCAGGTTCTGGCTTGTGGTCTCTAATAGGCATACAAAAACTCTCCAACTGATGAACCCAAGAAGTGTGGCAATCAGTATGCTAGCTTCAAGGAGCTGATGGGGAGCCCCACAGAAAACAATTGAACTCTTTTGGAAATAGCATGAGCACTTTCACCAAATCTCTTCTACTCATTGGGAAAAAAGAGGTGGGAGGGTAGAGAGGTAGCTCACTGCCACCCAATGTCTTCACCCTCAGTTCTAGGGCAGATGTAGGCATCACCCCTATCACCAGGAAGGGAGGGAGGGGGATCAGGGAGCTTGCATGGCTCACCTTAAAATTGACTTTTTATTACATTCAACACTGGGTTTTTTGGGAATGTGGGGAAAGCCCCTTGTGGCTCCCTAGGCTCAGCTGGTCACCAGGGAGCCAGATTCACCCTCTCTTAGTAGGACTCCAACTTGACCAGTACCCAAAGCAACTGCCAGAACAGGAGGGAAGAGGTACAGGAACCCCCACCTCGACCAGTCCAGCCAAAAGGCATCCAATGCAAGGGCCTCTCAATCAGGGAATGGAGCTACATTCAAGGAAAGGAGCAGAGTCCACGCAAACACAGAGAGTTCCACGTGCACATGATGCATGTGTTTATTGTGTTTGGCAATGAGGAAATATAAGGAATTTAGGCTTGCAGCATGTCTTATGCATACATTTTAATATTAGTGAAGTAGCACCCATCAACATGTGTAATGCTCACTATTATATGGTGATGTACTATAAATACCAAACATCCCAGCTACAGGGCAAGCTTCTGTAAGGTAGATAGATGCACATTAGAACATAAATGTCTGGACTTACTATTTTACTATTTGAAATAACATAAATTTCCCATAAATTCCTGACTTTTTGTAAGTGTTATTTCTACATACAAGATAATACCTTGACCTACAAATGTTAACCTGTTATACATGCAATCCAAAGGTATGACTTTTACACAAGGTATATAAAAATCACACTTTTTTTATGCCCCCCCACCCCAAAAAAACCAGCGTTGAATGTAATGAAACGCCATTTTCTGGGTGAGTCCCGGAGGCTCCCCGGAGCTATCCCAGGCTGATATGCTAATGTCAGACTTTGGCATCAGTCATGTGTATGGAGTTCTTAGGCCTACCAGGGACCACGGCCAGAACCGGGCCCCCTCAGAGAGGCAAGGGGAGCAATGGCCTATAGAAGCCCCCGTGTAGTTGGAAGCATTCAATGTCTGCCATCGACCGGAACAGGCACCCAGAAAGGTAAGCGCCCCAAAACAAACCCCTATTCTGGTTAAAATTGCTACCTAAAACCGAACTAGTGGATAGAACTCCCCAACCGAAAACAAGCAAACTAGTGTGACGTCACACACTGCCGCGCCGCTGTCTGCGCAGCTCCCCCCTCCCCGGGAGGGGGAAGGGGGAGCCCCAGACCCCCCGCGCCGGCTACCCACACCTCAGTTCTTGAGGCTGGATGTCAAAAACGCGAAAAACCGCCGACCGGAGGGAGGGAGGGATGCCGGGGAGCCTCCGGGACTCACCCAGAAAATGGCGTTTCATTACATTCAACGCTGGTTTTCTGGAGGGAGCCCCGTCGGCTCCCCGGAGCTAACTACCCACAGACAGAAAAAGAGGGACTTACCCGGGAGGCGGTCGTCGCTCACCCCTCAACTCGAAGCCAAGACAACTGGCTGCAACCGCCGACCCAAAGCAACACAGGCCCGACGAGGCCCAGGGACATTCACAAGGTAACGAGCAGCCAGGACCCTGTTCGACCGCCAAAATCCCCGCGCCCGAATATCAGACCAAGACATATTCCCAAAGACGGCAGCAAGAGCCGCGAACTTACGAACATCATGGGCACGGGGATAGACTGCAGGCTGGCTGGACCTAATAACCCTGCGGACGACCTGAGAGACCCGAACCCGCGAACAGGGAAGAAGGGAAACCGGATCAACCCACAGCGCGTCCCCGGACACAGAAGCTGTGGCGCGCAAATAAAGGCGAAGCGCCGCAACCGGACACAAAACATGATGCACCCCCGGCCTGACCAACCAAGCATCAACCACCCATGGACCCCTCCGGAACGCAGCAGTCTCATTCTTCGCCAGAAAAGAAGGAGACGGCTGCAAACGAACAAAACTATCACCACGACCAAAAGAGCAGAAACCCCTGCGCCGGAGGAGAGCATGAAGCTCCCCTACCCGACCCCCAGAGGCCAAAGCCAACAAGAAAAGTGCCTTGGAAAAACAATCCTGGACCGAAGGGGCCACAACGAAACGAGGAGATGAAAGGAAAGCGAGCACTCTGTCCAGAGACCAGGACGGCTCAGGCGACGCATGAGCAGGCCGGAGGTGAAACAATGCACGAGACAGCTTGCGAAACGGCGCAGACGTAACATCGATACCGAAAGCAAGCTGAAGCGGCTCCGCCAGCGCCGCACGATACGAAGCGACAGTGTTAGGCATAAGATGACGGTCCTGAAACAACCACGAGAGGAAGGACAAGACCACCCGAACAGACAAGGAGCTAACACGACGAAGACGCAAAAAGAAACGGAAGGACCGCCAGGAAACTTCATACTGCCGCCGAGAAGAAGCCCTCAGGTGGGACACCAACAAGGAGGCCACCTGATCACCATAGAGATGATGATAGACCGAGTCAAAAAAACCATACGCGAAGACTCGAGGAGAAGATCGAACCAGCTACGTGCCGTACCGGCCCGATCTGCTGAAAGAGGCGGAGCCGCGGGAAAACCCTCGGGTTCGGACACCGAGCAACCAGCGCCTGAAACCAAGGCTGCGCCGGCCACCAAGGGGCCAGAAGGACAACTCTCCCCCGGTAAGTCTCTAAGCGAGTCAGGACCTGGAGCAACAGCCGAACCGGGGGAAAGAGGTACAGGAACCCCCACCTCGACCAGTCTAGCCGAAAGGCATCGACCCCGACGGCCTCGCAATCGGGGAAGGGCGCCGCATAAACGGGAAGACGCCGCGACCACGCCGACGCGAAGAGGTCCACTTCGGGGGGCCCGAACGTCTGGCAAAGCCAACGGAAGGACTCGTCGTCGACCGTCCACTCCGTGGAGAGGGGAACGAAGCGAGACAGGGCGTCGGCCAAGACGTTGGACACGCCCCGTACGTGAACCGCCAGGAGAGCCAAACCCCGAGAACTCAGCAGACGAGTCACCCGAAGCGACCAACCCCAAAGAGACAAGGACCGCATCGAACCCCCGCGGTTCAGGCAATGAACCACCGGAGAGCAGTCCGAATGGAGCCGAATCGTCGATCCGCGGGCCACCCGAATCCTCCCCAGAGCAAACCACACCGCCGCGAACTCCCGCACCGTACTGTGAGCTCGACGGAAGGACGGATCCCAACGCCCCTGGCCGGCCTGGTGAGCACTGGTCACAAAACCCCAGCCGAGAGACGACGCATCCGTGTACACATCGAGCGAGGGCTCGGGTAGGCGCCAAGGCACTGAACCCCGAAAAACCCGAAGAGGAAGCCGGTGACGCAGCAACCGACGCAAGTCCCCCGGGGGTCGAACTCTGCGATCGCGAGAGAGGCGGAAGGGGGAACCCCGAAGGAACCAGAACAGCCGCCGAAGCCAAACCCGACCCGGCGGGTAGACCACCATCGCGAAGTTCAGGCTCCCGCACAGCCCCTCGAGCAACCGCCGGGTGACCCGAGGGCCCTCCAGAAACAGACGAAGGCGGGACCGCAGCCGCAGGAGAGACTCCGGAGGGAGAGACAAAGAGGCGGTTCGAGAGTCCCACACGAGACCCAGCCAAGTCCGAACCTGAGAGGGAACCAGATGGGACTTCCTCCAGTTCACCAAGAACCCGAACCCGGCGAGCTGGGAAAGAACCAAATCCCTGGCTAGCAAGCAAGCTGACTGGCTGGGAGCCCAAACCAGCCAGTCGTCGAGGTAGGCCAACACCCGAACACCTAGGAGACGCAAACGAGCCACCACAACCCGTGTAAGGCGTGTGAACACGCGAGGTGCCAGGTTCAACCCGAACGGGAGACAACGAAAGCGGTAACTCAGACGCCCCACTACAAAACCGAGCCAGTCCCTGAACCGCGGATGAATCGGGACATGCCAATAAGCGTCCCGGAGGTCCAGGGACACCATCCAAGCTCCCGGCTCCAAGAGGAGCCGAACCTGAGACAGCGTAGTCATCCGAAAGGAGGGGCAATGAACCCAGGGGTTCAGACGGGACAAGTCCAGAATGAACCGCAGGTCCGCGCAGTCCCGTTTCGGAACCGGAAACAGACGGGAAACCCATCTGAGGGACGACGTCGTTTCGACGACGCCTAAGCGTACCCACTCCAAGACGACTCGACAGAGCGCAGGGGAAGAAGCCTGCCCTGCCAGCCCCGACCCCCCAAAGGGGGGAGGGGCCACCCAACGCCACCGCAGGCCGCGAGACACGACCCGAAAGGCCCACGAATCGTGGGACCAGGCGCGGGCGAACAGCGCAAGCCGCCCCCCCATCGCCCCGTCAAGGGGGCAAACCGCGAAAGGGCCGGCGACCCTTACGAGACCCAGAACCCCGCACAGCGCGAACACCGCGCCGACCAGACGAGGGAGGGTCCACAGGAGGAGCCAACCCCAAACCTGACACCAGAGGCCTACCACGACGAGAGGAACCCCGAGCCCTGGCACGACCTTTCCGGGAAGACCCACCCCGGGACCCCCGGAAAACCAACAAGTCCGACATCGGACGACAAGCCGCCGACGCAGCCTGAATAAACTGCGCCACGGCCGACTCCCCAAACAGGAGAGGACAAAAAGGTGAAGAACGCCTAAGAGCCAGAGCCCAAGCAGATTCCACGGAGGAACCCAGCACCGCCTGCCGACACGCGAGACGGGAAGCATAGAACAGGGAAACCGCATCCCGCAAAATCGGCGTGAACAGCTTCAACAAGGCAGCCGACGAACGCGCAGCCGAGGACAAGGTGCCGGACCCCGGGACGGACCCAAGCGTCCCCACATCCTCCACGAGCCAATCCGAAGACAGCTCCAGGAGGGAAAAGAACCGCAAGGCCGAACACAAAAGGCCCCGGGCGCGCAAGTCCTCTGCCACGAGCGCCGCCGAAAGGGAGGGAACCTGCACATGGAGCTGAATAACGCCCACATCGCGGGGAAGGGCAGGGGCAAACAAGCACTCATTCAGGTACTCAAGTTCACCCCCCAGGAAAACCTGAAGCACCGTGGAAGCTTCCCGCCACTCCAGCGTGCGGGAACGACAGAAGGAATGCCAGGAATCCAGACCAAACAAGGGGCAGTCTGCTAGCCAGGACGACTCCGGAACCTCGTAACGGAGCCAGAAAGGGAACGAAGTCCCAAACCTGAACGTGGACGGATCCATTTCCGAGGCATAATCCGGGTCACGCAGGAGGTAAGCTGCAAAGGCCGCTCGCACCACACCAGGTTGGATGCGATAAGCCGAAAACCTCCGGAAGGACGGAACCGACGTACCCGGGGGAACACGGAACCGAACCCGGGGAGGGGCCGACACCAAATCCAACTCGTACGCAGAGGGGGGAAAAGAAAACCCCACTCCTTGTAACAATAAGCCCCGCTCAGTGGGAAGAAAAACCCAGGCGGGGTCCAGCGGGGCCCAAGGCCCCCAAGTCAGCCCCTCCCCAGCCTCGAGGTCCGTCACCACAGGACCCGAGGCCGAGTCCTCTCCCCAAGCCCCGACCCCACAAGACAAGGACGGAGCAGCCGGAAAAGCTGGAGGAAGGGGGGCCCACTGGTCAGACCCTGAAGCTTC